CGGACCCCCTGGACCCCCCCCCCTGTCAACCCCCCTGCATAAGCAAAATGAAGAATCAACACTGATGTATTGTCATGAATATTTTGACATCATGTTTATGTTTTATTAATGCAGTCACACAGCGAATTTTTCCAATCAAGCGCACTGTGCACTAAACGACAGTTCAATAAGAAGACTGCTGCTGCATGGCAGAAACTAACTTTTTGAACCGCGGTTCAGTTTTTGACAGACTGACTCTCATATCTCTGCGGATGTCAAGGCGGTTACGGGCTTTTGTCTTGATTGTAACCATCGCTGAAAAGCCTGCTTCACACATGTAGCTGGTTACAAACGTAACTAGAACGGAAATAGCTTCACGAGCCATAGTCGAGTAGGCCTCGCGTATCTGCTGACTGCACCAAAATTCAGTTACTGACGTTGTTTCTAGGAGGCGCTTCAGTGGCTGTTTAGGAATAATGTCGCTACTGCCCTGACGCACAGAGGGGTAACCCTACCGCGCTCGTGCTGCGGGGACGTATGTCTACTGTTGCGCTAGCACACGTAGGGTTCCTCCCCCTCCTCCCTCCGGCCCATGCTGCGTGGGCCCTGCTGCTGCTGCACTGGCACATTTAGGGTCCCTCCCCCTCCTCCCTGCGGCCCATGCTGCTGCGTGGGCTTCGCTGCTGCTGCTGCGCTGGCACGCGGAAGGTACCACTCTGTTGCTTGCTTGCCTCGACCGAAAACCATGATTTGTTGGCACTGTTGATAGAGATGCCTGAATCACTCGCTGATTATTATATAGCACTACTTTTTTTAAATTGTATAAGAGGCTTCCCAGGTACCCCCTGTGGTTTTCGCTGGTACCCCCAGGGGGTACTAGTACCCCCGGTTGGGAACCAGGGCCTTAAGTTAAAGAGGGAATGTTCCCCCTTCTTTTACACCTCTCGACCTTTGACCTTTGACCCCCAGCTTCAACATCACAACTCGTTTTCGGATCCGTACGTCGAGCCGTTTAGATTTGTGCCCAACTGTTGACGGACGGCCAGACGCACGCACGCACGGACGCACGCTCATGCGATTCTACAAGCTGCATCTGACTATGTCAGATGAGCTAAATAATCCTTGGCATTAACAGCATACATGTAACTTAGAGTTGGTCAAATAATATATCTCAAGCTCTAGGAATGTCGGGGGAGCTTGTGGGAAAGGTTTTAGTTTTACTTCGTTTTTCTCCTCCCCAGTCCACGGTACCCCCATGCACAGGGTTTTCATTATCTTTGATAGTAACAGGCCCAAATGCTTTGGCAACAGGCCGTGGCGGTGTGCGGGCGGGGGTTTGGGCTCAACCCCCAAATTTTTTTTTTAAACCTAGATGCTCTGAGACGCAATCTGGTGTATTCTGAGCTGCAGTAAACAGACACATTTGGATTACAGTATGATCTTTTTTTCAATTTGGTTTCTCCTGGTACATTCAGAGTTCACCAAGTTTCCAAATTATGACAATTTAGTAATTATAAGAGTTAGACAAGTACGTAAATAGCATCAATTACTCAAAAACAAAACAATGCCTCTTGTGCACATAACATGCATACAAATATATACTAAACTGATTTATTAGTAGTAGATCATAAAACACTTTCACTTTGGAGAATAATTAGAGCAAACTAGATGCGAATTTAAATTTAAGTTCCGTTTGTGTTTGTGCTTGATATGAACATCTGTATATAACTCACATCTTTATAACATTAATTGATCTGTTATTCATCTTACTGTGTACGCTCTCTGAAAAGTCATGAAAAGTGTTTTGAATCCTAACTTGTGGGGTTGAGTCTAGGGTTGAGATAGTGTCATCAGACATGAGAATATGGCCCACAGTATGCCTCAGATTGCAGGAATATGGCTTAAATGTTTCAAAATGTTCTGTGGGGGCATGCCCCCAGACCCCCCTACCACTGGCATGCCTACGGCACGCAGGCCTGCCTGCGGCAGCCAAGGTTAATTTCGCCCCCCTCCGTCCATCAATTTCGTGCCGCATTTGGAGTTCACAGGGTTGGAGACCCTGGTAGTGGTTGCAATCACACTATTGTGAGGTCATGGGTACTTAGTACTGTTTAAGTTTAATGTGTTCTCATAAATAAGCCAGTTATTGACTGTCACTGTCATTATGCTATAGAGACAACAATTGCTTGTGTGTGAAACTCTAAAGGACCAGATACAAGACGACTCACTATGATTATTTTGTTCACATTCACAGACTTAACTAAGGGAACTCACTAAAGTGCACAGTGTTACTACTGAACTATCAGCGATTACTGGTTCCTGCCAGTAATCGCTGATAGTTCAGTAATAACACCGAATAGCAGCATTGTTTCATTAGCCATATGATTTAGTAAAACTTGGCTGCTCTTAGTGCTCTATGGTACTGCTATTGCAATTCTTACCTGTAAATTGTGAGAAAGAGGGCGGCAGACCATGCAAATGAACTCTTCAAGAAAATGTTTCCAGACTCACAAATAGCCAAAAAGTATGGTTGCAAACATACAAAAACACGTGCTGTCGCCCTCAAAGGCACATTGTGTTCAATTAAATAATCCCATTAATCCCATTTAACCCTAATCCCATTAATCGCAGAAGTGAAGATAGAGAATTGTCTGTCTTGACTTCTTTGCAGCGCTTGATATATTAATTGGGTGTAGATTCCACTGCACCCGCATAGCATTTATGCTTTTGAGAGACTATATGCCTCTGGCAGTCACTCCTTCCTCCGTGCCCTACTTGAAAGTCTGTCTTGCATACCATGCAATAGCCATGATTAACACTGAATTGTACTGTAGGCTATACAGTTATACATACATTTAAAAAAAACTCATTTCTCATGCCTTATGCTGAAATTGAAACAATCACATTTCTTACTTTTTTCTTCTTCTTCTTCCTTCTTTCTTTTTTTTCTTTTTTTTTGAATCTCAGGGGGATATTTGTACAGGCCACCCCCCTCCTTCAAGAGCGGAGGAATGCATCCCCCCATCACCCCCGGGATTTACGCCCCTGCTACAGATATAAGTACACCAGCCCATCGAATTACACGCGAATTTGTATAAACTTGCCAGTAGGTGGCAGTACGATACAATAATTCTCTCGCGCCTCCCACTGAGCTGTATATTATAAAAGAAGGATAAAGTTATGATATACAGCCCAGGCGTGCACCTATGAAGTCTTGTTCGCCACTGATGTGAAGCAGGAAACAATTACTGTATACAGACAGCTCCGCTTTGAGAAGCAACGCGCTAATTTACACACAGATGCATCGCATAGTGCAAGCATGGGAATTAAATTCGTGTCTTATTCCTACTTTGATTTGCTGTTAGGGTGGCTTCATAGAAATAATATACTGGTTTAGCGTTATATATACTGCTGCTTCTATTTCTATGGGTGGCTGACTTTATTGAAGGTATTTTACTGTTTAGGCTATTATTGAGAAATTTAGATTAATAATTCTGTTTGATTGATGTGAAATTGTGTTTATTTGTTAAATTAATAGAGGGATTCTGAATTTTCGATTACTGCGCTTAAAATTTACATGTAACATCGCATTCTTTTTTTAGAATAGTTACGAAAGAAGTTTCGAAAAATCATAAGAAATGTCAAACGAACATATCGTGATATTTTTTTTATTATAATAAACTGGAACTTTACACGGCGACAACCATGCGGGGATTTTAATCCTATATGTGAATCTATGGTTGTTGCCGATTACACGTGTAGTACATACACGGTTAGCCTTCCTGGCGGTCCGACTAGCCACGTATAATTGCTACATTTTTCGGGAAAATATTTCCGATGAACGATAGAAGTGGAATTTAAAACATTACTTTACTGATCGATATATAAGTAAAGACCCTGCTTCCAGACAGCGACTGACGAACTGATAAAAACACACCATCTGTGCGGCTTCGCATAGGCTAGTCGATACTTGTAGGGAAATATTCGCAATCATGACGCGAATACATACGCACTTTTTATTATTTTAAGTGGGTTTTATACAGTTAAATATTAGTAGTGCCTCGCGTACATGATATATAACTTGATTATACAATCGCTCGCGTATAAACATAAACATATATATAATTACAAAAATCGATAGAACGCGTCGTAGAGGTCGATGTTGAAAGAATGAACAATTTCGTACCACAACATATACGTACATTTTCACCACAACGCAAACAATCACTTATTTACGAATAATAACACGGCAATATATCACATCCAATACGTTTTTAGAGATGCATACATAAAAATATAGTCCTCGAGATAGTAAAGGGGTCAATCGTCATGCACCAACTGTTACAGCTATATCGGTAGTTTCAATGTTCACTGGACGTCAAAAATCTTAGTTCTAACACACTCAGAGAGCAGCCTTTCGAGACTATATACCCAAGCACATATATTTAGATCCACCATGCTATCGTATTATAGTACCACCGTTTACACGGGCGTGTAAAATACAAGGTTTAAAGTCATACGCACCATAATAATCCAAACGCTAAATATAGTTACAAGTAAATAAAATGGTTTTACTACTGGACGGGGTCCTACCCAATCTCGGGTAAACATCGCATACATCGGCAACTACATGTTCTAATTATATTATCACTTCCAAAAAGTGTTCAGCAATAGTCGTTTTACCTCGTCTCTAATGTAAAACGCCGAATGTAGTTATTGCAATCACCTGTGTATATAATGCTGAACACATCTCAATACATCAATAGATATTTTCACAATCAATAATCGGGAGCGAATAAAAAAAAACAGACGCAATTAAAGATAGATGAAAACGATTGTTTTCATTCTCTCCCGGTGTACTATATACATCGCTGAGGGCGAGTCTACCCTGACGCGACCACAGCCGCGCTGCCGTCTACAGTAAACCGCTGTCACGGACGGGAGCTTTCGGCGCGGGTGCTGGTTCGACGTCGAGCCAGATTTTCACGCACTTCTTCACCGTCGTGCCCTTGAACTTGCTCGGCATGTCCTTGTCTGGCATGCTGATGCCCGGAATAATGGTCACGTTGAGTACAAACCGCTCTGCCGGATTGTACTGCTTGCACATGAGCGTCAGCGCCCTCTGGTGCATGCCCTGGTTCTCGCGGTGCAGCTTCGCGACGGGCAGGTAGTAGAAGTTGGGCGCCGACGGCTGCAGGCCCGAGCGCACGAACTCGTGACCCGTGTCGACGCTGCTCAGATTCAGCACAACGCAGCCCTTGCCGTGCTTGCGCCAGCCGTTGGCGGCGATGCGCGACAGCTGACGCACGACCCAGCGGTCCGTCATCGCCTTCTGGCAGACGCGCTTGCAGAGCGTGTTGACGCGCGCGAACGTGCAGCGCCGCTTGTGGCTCTCCCAGTGCTCCTTGCGGCACTGCTTGCTGCAGTAGTACGTGTAGCAGTTGAAGCAGGATTTGTAGGTATCGCGAGCGTCGTCGTGGCCGCTGGCGCGGCCGCAGCGCGAGTTGCGACAGCGCACGACGACGTCGTCGGATTTGATGTACCTGTCGATGTGCTTCGGGTCTTGCGTCGCCTTCTTCCACGCGTCGCGACTCGTGCACTCGACGTTGAGTAGGTCGTCCAGCGAGCCGACGCTTGGCTCCAGGTAACTCGTGCTCTGGCTTTTCACCACCTGGAGCGAGAAATAGTAAAAGAAATCATACAAATATTCGTAGAAAAAACGAGTAGGAAAATATTGCGGTGAGCTCGGCTGGATTGGTTTCACTATCGTGCGTATTTCAGACCCGGCGGCGTAACAATAACGAAAGTAAATACGCCAATTATATCTTACATCATTCCTATTGTAGGTTAGTAATGAATATCTTACGTAATTATTAATTATGTCGATTTAAATTGATAATAGCGCTATAGTCAGAGATCATTATCAAGCATACATGCCCACTATTCAATTAAAATTGAGAGGACAAACAAATTATACGAATCGGGGAATCATGAGATGAATGGGCGAATAATGGCGTGGTGGTAGTAGCATAATCGTAAGCGCATTCTTATTCGCCAGGACGATACCAGCTGCAAACCATATATCGTTGTCCTTACGGAAACACTATTCCAGTCGTCGACGATCCATACTAACTTCCAACAGACGTGGTTAACGTTGCTGATAACCACATCGAGCTATGAGTGTAAGCTGGAGCCTATCTACAGAAGTAGCATACAACTGCCTATCGATCTGTGTTGGATGACTGAAGTCCGACGCTATTAATAGTCATACCTTCAGGTCTTGAAATGTGTGGTCGTGTGTCTGATCAAGATCTCCGGGGCTGATGCTGGTGAGCGACTTGTAGTGTGTGTGAGCGTGGGTGGGGCGGCCCCTCTCCACAGCTTCAGCTATGTACTCCTCAACAGGGGTCTCCGGTCGACTTGGCGCGAGGTCTAACATGTTGTCGACAGCTTCCTCAAAAGATACCTTAAATAGCAAATGTAGATCACACGCTGTAGTTATAGATAAATTTATTATACGGTATTAGGAATGCTTGTTGCATTTTGTGTAAACTTGGCCACACATTACTTACGCATCACCGTTACATATTATATTATATTATGTGATGTGATGTGATGTGATGTGATGTGATGTGATGTGATGTGATGTGATGTGATGTGATGTGATGTGATGTGATGTGATGTGATGTGATGTGTGATGTGATGTGATGTGATGTGATGTGTGATGTGATGTGATGTGATTTGTGATGTGATGTGTGATGTGATGTGATGTGATGATGTGGTGATGTGGTGATGTCATGTCGTGTCATATCATATCATATAACATTAGATTACAATACACTAAATTTCGTTTCATAAATGATTAAATTAAATTAAATTATTTTATATAAGATCATTTATTAGAATATTGAAACATTACTGTTGTTAACATGAAAAGGTTGTACCTAGGCTAACTAATAGATAATTACCTTCATCAGTTCTTCGTTGCAAGGATCATTCACCGGATCATATTCCCCGATTTCGATGTCATCTATGGAAATGTCACGAGTCGCGATTTGCAGCGGTATTGTTCTCGGTGTCGACGCATGAAGAGGTACCGTTTGGTTACCAGGCAAAACAAACACGTCATCATCTCCCGGCGTGCCTGGAGTAACGGGAGCCTTCCGCAGGAATCTTGGAACGCTCGTGTCATGTTCCGACGCCTCCAACACTGCCAATATGTCATCGGCACTCTTCGTCCGACTAGGCTTAGGGTTTCTTTCGTTGCTTACCATCTGTAGCTCTATCACGATAGTTCCATGATCTTGTTTCACAAAATAGGACGTGTCTTTGACTTGAATTGTTTTCGCCACCTCCTCTGTGATGAGTGCGGGCAAGCTCTTGTATAGACTTGTCTTGCTTTCAGGCTTACCATCCCAGAGCGCGGTATCCACGTCAAATTCCGCGCGCGTGAGTCGAGTGGCCTTCACGCTCTGGTCGTCTAGACTCTTTCGAGGAGAGACTCTTGATAACTCAGGCTCCGTCTTCTTAGGAGGAAATGCTTGGTTGCTGGTAGCTTCATCCAACTTATTCGACGTTTTAGCTTTACTCGGCTCTCGAACATTTTCTGGAGATGCTCTGGAGAAGCTTGGTAACTCAGGATCCGTCTTCTTAGCAGGAAATGCTTGGTTGCCGGTAGCTTCATCCAACTTATTCGAAATTTTAGCTTTACGCGGCTCTTGGGCAGTTTCTGGCACGACCTGCTGTTGAGGAATGTCAATGATTGCGTCGATATCTGTCTCCATTGGCCGTTGCACCTCAGAGGCAACTTTGTGAGGTAGCAGGTCACCTGTTACATGTCCAATTGCGAGGCACACAGCCCTTCCCTGTGAGTCGGACGCTATCCTTACCGGGTTTCCAGTCCTATCGAGAACAACTTGAAGTCTGACACTGTTCATGTCAGGGTGTGCATCCATTGGACTACCATGACAATCAGTGATAACTAGAGCACCTTGATAATCGTTTGCCACGTAGAGTGGAAATCCTTCAGAATCAATTGCGACTGGAGATGACGAATTCTTGTCTGTCATGCTTAACCGTGACTTCGTTAGGTCATACTGGAATGACAGAGGGCTTCCATTACTGTCCGAAGCTATGTTTAATGGACGGCCTTTGGAGTCGAACAGTACCTTTCTCTTCTCAGAATCAAGGGCAACGTATAAAGAATTGGAGCGGGAATCCAGAGCAACCAGGAGAAGCTGGCCAGATGAATCGACCTCAACTTTCACCGGTTTTCCTTGCCCATCAACGGCCATCTTCCTGCCATCATCGCTGTACGCCAGCAATAGAGGCTTCCCACGACTATCGACGGCTATCTGGAAAGCGCGACCCTCATCATCAGTCTGCACATTGATCGGCTCGTTATTATGATCAACGGTAGCCATCAGACGTCTTCCCTGGGAATCAACGGCGATGTGATTTGCATGTGAGTCAACTGATACGAAGATGGGCTTGTCGAATGAATCCACCGCAACGACGAGCGGTTTCCCATCGTCGTCCACTGCCATCTGAACGTCGACGATAGTTTTTAAAGGGTGTCCTTTCTTGTCTACTGCAACTTGTTTCCCAGGCTCAACAACGGCCAGGTATAGTGGGACGTCTTTAGCATCAGCAGCAAAGCTGATCACGCGGCCACTTGCATCAGTTGCCAATGGACGCGGGGGCAGTTTGTGTGCTGGGATCGCATCGATGGGCCTACCCTCAGAGTCCGACGCCACTTGAACTCCACGAGTGTCAAAGGCAAGGTGGATCGGTCTTCCATCTGCGTCGACGACGACCTGCATGGGGTTTCCCTTAGCATCAGTGATCATCTCCAGAGGTTGTTTCTCGCTATTAGTTGCATTATCTGCCGCTGGTTCAGCTACATGTGGTACTGCTGCATGTTTGGCTGTGCTACTTGAAACATCGTGCAACGGTTCTTTGTTGCCTTTGTTGCTATCAATCACAATGCTTTCTGCCACTGGTTTTGTTGTCTGTGGCTCTATTTCTTGTTTTTCCGTGCGACTAGGAACCAAATTTTGGCGTGTGCTTTTATCAGAAACTCTCTCTTGTTGGTAGTTAATATTCTCATTTGATTCCTTCTCTATCATCAGAGGGGTGCCAAATGCGTCAACAACTATGGCCTTACCAGTTTTCTTGGTGGCGGTGTATATGGGCTTGTACTGTGAATCAATTGCAAGTTGGATTGGACGACCTTTTTTGTCCTGATTTACCTTCAGGCGACGTGCCTTCTCGTCTTCTACAAGATGCAGGGTCTCTCCACTCCCGTCAACGACAACGTCTCTCTGCTGCTGGTCTTTTGCCAGGAAGATGGGATTCCTGCACGAGTCTGATGCAGCCTGAAGAGGTTTACCATCCTTTCCAAGTATCATTTGCAATGCGATTTTCTTACTTTTCCTAGAAATCTTTAGTGGTCGTCCATGTTCATTGACAGCAACAGCGTTGTGGTCTGAATCACGGGTGACATAGACCAGCTTGTCGTTAGCATCGCTCCCGATCACACAGGGGTTTCCCGTGCTCTCTTGCTGAAGTATTAACGGCTGTGCTCGGGGATCATAAACCAGTTGTAAAGCTGTTCCTTTGCAATCTACGATTGCATCATTTCCACCAGGATTAACTTGGACATAGAGTGGTTCTCCGTGTGAATCCTGTGCAACAGGTATTTTTGATTTCTGTTGTTGAGCGGATTTACTCGTGACTGGTTTAGTGCTGACTAGGGTTGGAGGAGCAACAGCAGCTTCCTCAAGCTGTTCTGCGTCTACAGTTTCGGGCTGGGTGGTAGCGTTGCTGGAAATCAAAAGAGGTTTACCGTGCAGGTTTACAGCAACCTCTCTCCCTCGATTGTCGACTGCTACATAAACTACATCACCGTTTCCATTCAAGCCGATTTCAATTGGCCTTCCTTCTTCATCAACTGCCACATCAAGCTGCATTGGATTCGGGTCCTCTTTGAGCATAATTGGCTTCGCAACTGCATCCACAACAACGTATTTGCCTTGATGGTCCAATGCCAAGAATATTGCATTTCCATGGAAATCTACTGCTGCTTCAAGTGGGTTACCTGCATTGTCGGCGACGATTTTCAGTGGTTTACTTTCTCTGTCAGCGTCGATGTTCAGTGGTTTACTTTCTCTGTCAGCGTCGATTTTCAGTGGCTTACTTTCCAAGTCTGCAATCACTTTCGGTAGTTCGACATCCTGTTTAGATGAAATTTTCATTGGATGGCCAGCGAGATCAATAGCTACTTCTCTACTCTCTGCATCGACCGCAGCATAGATGCGCTTGTTGTCAGAGTCGAACCCGATTTCTATTGGCTTCCCCATGTCATCATAGGCAATCTTCATTTTTTCCGCATTGGCGTCCTTCACTAATCGCTCCGGTTGTCCATGTTCGTCGACCACGGCATATTTCCCAGCGCTGTCTACTTTCAGAAAGATTGGCACACCGCGGGAATCGACAGCCGCTTCAAAACATTCATCGTGACTGTCGTGCATCGTTTTGCTATCAGCCAGGTGCATGGCAGAGGTGATCTGAAGTGGTATTCCTGTTGCACTGACGAGTATATCCTCGCCGACTGAGTCACTCGCCATATAAACGGACTTACTATCAGCATCGAGGGCCATCTGTATGGGTTCTCCTTTTCCATCGACAACAAGCCGAGGCAATGCTGACTTACCAGACGGGTGAAGTCGCAATGGCACTGCGTGACAGTCAACAGTGACATACTCGCCATTATCGTTGGTGGCGATGTAGATTGGCATGTCATCGCAATCAGAGGCAAATTTGATTGGTTGGAGTTGCTCGTCAACCAACGGACGAACAGTTGAGCTTGCCCAGAGAGGCATTCCCGCAGCATTCACGATGTATAGATTGCCTTCTGGGTCAACGCCATTGTAAATAAGATCATTCTTGGCGTCGATGCCTATCTCAACAGGATTACCATTCGTGTCACGGACGAGAGGTAAAGGCACAGCAGTTTCATCTTCATTTAGGACAAGAGCAATCTGCTCCGAGTTAATAGCGACTTGCTCTTTCTGTTTACTCGATCCCCTATAGACTACGTTTCCCTTTGAATCAGTACCAAGAGCTTTTGGATTCCCTACACTGTCACAGTCCATTTTGATAGACGACGCTGGCATGTATATAGCTGTTGCGGAAAATTGTCTACCAGATCCATCAACTGCGATTTTCTGCTGCTGCATGTCTTTGGCGATATATATCAGTCTGCCATGCACATCTTCTGCAATCTTTATAGGCTGTCCGTTAGAATCTGACAGGGGTGTTAGCAGCTCAGCATCAGCATCCACTCCGACCCTTAGTGGCACAGCTTTGTCGTTAACAGCAAGCTGTTTGCCTTTCTGATCCACTGCCACGTAGATGGGATTGCCATGTGAATCACTTGCCTTTAGAATTGGTTTCTCGTGCGTATCGACTAACAAGTGCAAGGTCTTCGTCGTTGTGTCCAAAACAATCTTCAGCGGTCGACCGTAAGCATCTACAGCTATCTTGTGACCTTGGGGATCTTGTGCCATATATACGCGCCTACCATGAGCATCAAGTACAACCATTAGGCGTCTTCCTTCCGCATCTACAGTGACTTGCAGGGGTTTAGCAGTTTCATCCTCAACAAAGTTCAGCGGTGTTCCGTCTACATCCACGGCTAGCTTTCGGCCTTGAAAATCTATTGCCGAGTAGACAGGATGACCGGTGGAGTCAACAACTGCCTGTATAGGTTCTCCTCTTCCGTCAACATACATTTGAAGTGGTCTACCCTGCCATTGGTAAAGAACCTGTAGAGGTGTTCCGCCAACATCCACGGTCATGAGCTTTCCATCAGGAAGGGCAGCGACATAGACAGGTTTGCCATTTCCATCAATTGCCATCGGGATTTGTCTTCCCAGACAATCAACCGTTCTCCTCATTGGTTCTGCATTGGAATTAGGAACAAGGATAATGGGTGTACCATCTCGTGAAACTGCAAGTCGTTTTCCATGCTCATTGGTTGTGACATACACCTTGCCGCATTGGGCCCCCAACACAACTTGTAGTGGGTGAATGCTGGGATCGGGAATCACTTGCAACGGCAGGCTGTCCATGTTGACTGCAACGTCCTTCCCATTGTGGTTAACAGCAACGCATATTGATTTACCGTGTACATCTTTAGCTACTTTTAATGGCTTTCCTTGAGGATCACGGGCGATACCATGAAGAGGCTTTGCAATTTTGACAACAACCGTGTCGAGCTGTCTTCCATTTGAATCGACAATGGCAGGCTTGCCATCAAAGCCTACTGAGATGTAAATTGGCGTTTCCTTCCCATCAACAGCAACAGTGAGAGGCCGCCCTACCGTATCAACTTGCACGAATCCCATCTGACGAGAAGCTAGTAGCATATCAAGCATTAGTTCCTTATCCAACATGGGCGTTAAAGGTATAGTATAAGCTACAATGTCATCACTCTCTTCACTAGAAGACGTAGATTCGGCAGAAAGATGAGGCTTTGTTGCTAAAGGTGTTCCACTCTCATCAAATTCCATAGCTTCTTCAGAGCCATAGTTCATTATCATACATTCTACATCATACTCCTCGTCATATAGTTTCTTCACTGCTTCTTCTTCCTCGTCAGAATCTGACTCTAACCTCCTGCGCCTCTTCCTCAGCAAACCAGGTAATAAATCTTCGTCGGTTAAATTATCGATTTCATTGTCCTCTGATACTGACACGTCATCATCTGTTTTCCTGAGTATCTTGTCTTGGTGGGTTGTCCCAACAGTTTGTAGCGATACAGGTTGTTGTTTACTAAACACGTATTCTCCATCTGATGCTCTTGCAAGAGCTGCAGTGTCCTCAGGTGACATTTGTTTAAACTCTGCATCAGTGACTGGGGTTTTCTCAGCGATGACACCATCTGAGTTCAGTATGACAATATAGATAGTTTGGTTCTCCCTGACGTAAACTATTGTCGGTTGTGTAACCTCTGATGGTATTTTTATTGTGGGACCTTTTCGTTTCTGTAGTTGCGGTGCTTCTTTGACCTCAGGAGTGTCTAGATGCTCCTTCTTTACAGATATTTCATCAGGTCGTTTGGCATCCGACGCTCTAGTTACATTGGCATTGGCATATATAGGTACATCGCTTCTACCTTCCATAGCAGATACGTCTTCCCCTCTTAATTCATCCATCTTAGTTTCTTCTAGTACTGTTCCATCCTCAACAGTTAGCTGACTGGGCACCTTATGTTGGTGGCTGATCACGTATTCTCCATCCGATGCTTTTGCAAGGGCTACCATGTCTTCGGGTGACATCTGTTTAAACTTTGCATCAGTGACTGGTGTTTTCTCAGCTATGTTGCCGTCAGGGGTCAGAAAGCCAACATAGATAGTCTGTTCCTCCCTAACGTAAATCGAAGTCTGTTGTGTAACCTCAGACACTATCGTTACTGTGGGATGTTTTTGTTTCTGTGCGTGACGAGTTTTCGGGGGAAGTGGCAGAATGTTTTTCTTGCCACTATTAGTAGCTGGTTGCTCCTTATCAACAATTTCACCAGGCAATTTTGTGTCTGTCAAGCTCGACACATTTGCATATATTGGAGCATCGCTTTTACCTTTATTGGCTGATACGTCTTTGTCTCTTAAGTTATCATTTTCAGTTCTTTCTGGTAGCATTCTATCCTCAACAGTTGACTCTTCGGGCATCTTATCTTGGTGTCCTGACCCTGCGGTTTCTACTGGAGCGGACTTTTGCTGACTGACCACGTATTGTCCATCTGTTGCCCTGGCAAGGGCTGCGATGTCTTGGGGTGGCATTTCGTTGAACTGCGCATCAGTAACTGGAGTTTTTTCAATGATGTTGCCTGAGGAGTTTAATACGACATAATAGATAGTCTGCTTCTCTCTCACATAAATTAAGGTCTGCTGTGTAGTCTCGGATGTTGTCGTTACAATTGGACCCTTTCGACTCTGTGGTTGTTTCCCTCCTGAGTCCTGTGTTTTGGCAGGGAGTGGTAGAATATTTTCTTTGTTCCTAGTTGTAACTGGATGCTCTTTCTTGTGAGGCATTTCATGAGGCAACATTACCTCTGGCGATTCAGACACATTAATATTAGCATATATGGGAGTATTGCTTGTGCTTTTCATGGCGATGTCCTCTGCACTGCTGTCGTATGTAGGTATTGCCTGCCCATTGATTACATAGAATTTGTCATCATTAACAGGAACGCTTTCACCAGTGGCTTTTAATGGATCCTCTGCTGGGTGGCCTTTTTGGTTTATGGATTCAGGTTTCATAAATTCTGTTGTATTCTTGATATCTGCTTTCTTATTATCTTGCGGTGTGGATGGTTTTACTGTCTTCTTCTCTGCTTTCGAACCAGATTTTCTTGGCCGTGCAGCCTTTTTACTTTTTTCAGTCACCATTTCAACTGGTGGCGAGTAATCTTTTGCAACTAAGAACTGGTTGTCATCGTCATCAAAGAAATGCTCCAACACAAGCGTACCTCTTTGTGGCACAGATAACTGAATTCCATCTGGGTACACTGCATTTCTCACGTGATATCTTTTTCCAGATCGATCTTCCATGGTTGAAGGTTTCTCCGTGTTACCTGTTACTCGTTTCGGTGGTAATGTTGGTGGCACACGGTATTTATGGGGTTTTATGGGTAATTTGGGTTTCACAGGGGTTACCTGGGTGGTGACACTGGCCGTTGTGTGTCTTGCCTTTACCGACCTCTCGTCTTTCGCATCTAGCTCTGGTTTCGCATTTGGATGCCGTTGTCCTTGGCCGCCAACCTGCTTGTTCAGTGATTCATGCCGGGGCTCCTCAACTTTCTCCTGCTGCTTCGGTTGTGGCTTATACCTACTAAAAGAAGGAAGCATGCCTTTAGGCTTTGGAGGTAATGGCGGCGGTTTATGTTCGGCTATTGGTTTACGTGCATCGTCTGAGTGCAAGGGAGTTCTTTTTTCAAGTGCGGGTGCTTTGTCATCAGTAACTGGATCGGGCTTGCTATTTATAGTGCTCGTGTTTGTGAGCTTTTCTGTGGATCCTAATCCATCATCGTCCATATACAGCTCCACTGCTTGCTGATCATATACAGAAATGGTCGACTGTCTAGTATTTGTCTCGTATAATGATTCGACACTTGTTTGTGAAATCAGTGATGATCTTGGTTTGGGCACTGGTGTAGCTCGAGTCTTTTGCCGCATTATAACTACTGGAACATCTGTCTCCACATTGGCTTCTGCTTCTGTCGTGGAATCTAGGGCTCTACTTCTAGGCTTAGGGACGGGCATGCTAGCATCATATGGTTGATAGGCAGATTTCTCTTCCATGGTATTCGCAGTCGATGACGTACTGCTGGGTTTCACAGATAGCGGGACAGAGTCATCATGTTCTTCCTGGTTGAATGTGGGGGCACTGACGTCATCGTTGTGTGATTCTATGGGCAGCTTTGATGTCGTCGCTGTTGTTTTAGTTACTTTAGTTTCAACTTTAAATTCTCTATAGGTAAATGACTCTTTTTCTCTTTTTGCATCATCGTCTTTCGATGGTCGTTCTGACTTTGCATCTGACACATTATCTATTGTACGTGGCACTGCAGTGGCCAGTAGGCTGACATCGTTTTGAGCTTGTATGTTTTTCTCAATTGGAGTTCCTTGTCGTTCTGTCTTAACATCTGGTGCGTTATCGACTGTGCGCGCTGTTGCTATTTCCAGGTGACCGTCGAAATATCCAGCAGGTAGGTCTTCCATAGACTGGGCTTCTTGTGGTTCTCTCTTTGCATCTATCGCTGGTATTATACTAGCTGACAGATTGCCATCATTTTTAGCTGATATGTTTTCCTCAAGCTGTATTGCACGTGATTTGGTCTTCACTTGTGGCACCTGTTGTATGGCAGTTGGTACTGTACTAGCTAACAGACTATCTGGTGCGTTATCGACTGTGCACGATGTTGCTATTTCTAGGTGACCGTCGAAATATCCAGCAGGTAGGTCTTCCATAGGCTGGGCTTCTTGTGGCTCTCTCTTTGCATCTATTGATTTTTCTTTGACATGTAGTGTTGCGATAGCTGACTGGTCATCTTTTTTTACAGCTGGTATATTTGTCTCAAGTTGTTCCTCTGGTCGTCCTATGTTTACATCTTGGACTTGTGGTATGGCAGCTGCTGGTTCAATATTAGCTATCAGACTTTTCTCAGTGCTTTTCTCAGTGATTTTTTTCTCAGGCTGGGTTATGCATGGCTGTGTCTTCAAATCAAGTACCTGCTGTTTGGCAGGTGGCATTATGGTGGCTGAGAGTCTGTCCTCACCATCATCACCCATGCTTTTCTCAGGCTGGGTTGTTTCCGGTTCTGCCTTCAAATCCTTTGCTTGTTGTTTATCAGCTGGTATTACACTAGCTGACAGATTGCCTTCGTTTTTAGCTGATATGTTTTCCTCAAGCTGTATTGCACGTGATTTGGTCTTCACTTGTTTCACCTGTTGTATGGCAGTTGGTACTGTACTAGCTAACAGACTGTCTTTATCACTAGCAGGTTTTTCTTGACGTTCAGGTTTTAGATCTGGTACTCGTTGTAGTTTTGGTGGCAATTCACTAGTTCGCACACTGTCTTCGATTTTAGCTGGTATGCGTTCCTTGAGCCGGTGGTGTAGTTCTGGAACAGTACCAGTATGTGGCGTCTGTTTTGTTGATACATCATATGATTTAACCTTTACTTTCTCTACGGAATAGTCATCTTCTGTATGTTCTTCAGCGAATTTCTGTATTTCGCTAAAAAGCTCTTCAGCCTCGCGAGTTGTGACTTCAGGTTCAGATATTCTGAATGTTTTCGGACTCTTTGGAATCTGCCTCCCGTTGTCAGACGGTGACTTACTTGCTCCACTGTCCGAAATCGCTCTATGTTTAAGTATCGATTTAGGTGCAGCACGCATTGGCAGCGTAGCCGATTTCTTATCAAATCTCTTCCATGTTGTCACGACTCCCTGAGGCTCTTTGTGATCTTTTTGTAGCTGATTTTCAGGAGCTTCCACCGACTGCTCATCGAGATCTCCAGTGCTTCTAGTCCTGCTGAGGACATGCGCACTAGCCAATAACGGTGAGTTTGGCACAGAGGCAGCGGATCGTGGTAAGGGCTTCATCTCAGTTAAACGCTTAGGCTCCTTTACAGATTTGCTGTACTGCTGGTCAATATCCGTCTCTTTGACCAACTGCACTTCACTGGACATCAGAGAATCAATGTCCGTCTCTCTGTAGTTTATGTTAACTTGTTGTCCACTGGTATATACACTTCCCGGTTGTTGGTAAGGCACTACAGGTACGAGCTTGGTTTCACTCCCTAGAACCTTTATGTCACTAGTCGATTTGAACCTAGGCCGTGCTGGTCGGTAGGCATCATCATCAAGAATGTCATCATTTGAGTATGACATCGGCTTTCGTCCACCTTCATCTTGCCCCTGAGGTCTCCCTGGCTGAAGATAACGGCGTAGCATATCTTTTTCCGGCGTTGAACCCGCCCGGTCTCTCATGCGCTGTCTATACGTTTCTATATCTTCAAAGTCTGTTGATCTCGGTGAATGCACGGGCTTCTTGTCTTTTAGATGTTGCAAACGCTTGTCGAACTCGGATATGCTCTTTAGTATGGCCGCGTTGTCCACTTGCAGTCCCCCATCAGCGAAAAACCGTTGTCTTGCATCAAGTATACTCTTCTTGGTTGGACTAATCGTAAATTGATTGTCCCCCTGATCAGCTTGCAGTGTGTCAACAGGCTTATCTATAGTTGGAGACATACCACGGTATCTATTCTTCTGTATATCCTCGGGCTTCAGAAGAGTTAAGAATGTAGGGCATGTTGTCTTATCAACAGTTGACGACTGCGTAGGTGTAACATATCCTCTAACTGGCAATGTTTTGCTCTCTGTATAGCCTCCCGTGTTACTGCCCGTTTTTCTGTCCACTTCACTTTTAGTGACACTGTACAACGGCTGCTGACTCTCAGTGACAATGTTCTTTGTTTCTGGAAGTGTCTTGCTTTCCTTTTGAAGACCTGCCTTTACATCTGCTTTTACACGATCGTTCTTATCTTTTGCACTAGCTGAATCGCGTGTGGGTGAAATGGGTCTCACGGAATACGCCGTCATTTTATGCTCACGCTTTGGGGACATGGGCTTCATTCTGTGAATTGGCTTCACATCTTCATTCTCCGATGATGTGGTATCTTCCAGCATCTCGTCTATACTACTAGAGAGCAGGCTGGAGTCCTTGTATCTGCCAGGCGACATTGGACTTCTCACAGGAAATTTCGCTATCATTGGCCGATAGGCATTTGGCTCGTACTCTCCCTCGCTGTCGCCATCCGTGTTTGTAATGTCGCCGTCTGTAGTCGGCACCTCGCTCACCGATGCGCCCTTTACACTCTCCTGATCACTCTCTGATGAACTGTTATCACTCTCCTTTTCTGTTCCACTCTCGGTCGTATCACTCTCGCTAGAACTGCTGCTGTCTGACGACAACGATGACGATGACGGCGTATCGTCGGCCGATCTAGTAACAGTGTACTTTCCTTTCTTGCGTTTTGGCAAATCACTATCACCGGAAGCAGTTAAGTTCGCCTCATCTCTTGACACGATATCATCAGCATCTGTACCCATGGCGTCAGCTTTAGATTTCACAGCGTCTAACCCACCTTGTCTATCTTCAGCTTCATCATCTGAAGATTTATCGGACAGTTTCTCTGTTTCTGTTGAGTTTTCCCATAGGTTTTCCTTAATCTCCTCTCCCGATGGCGTAAGCACAGTCTTTTGATACTCGTAAGTAAAGCTTTTCGGCGGTGTCTCCATGGACGCGGACGGTTCGGAATCTACGTACGTCGTCGAATGTCTTAACACGTCTTGAACATATTTTCCTTCCGTGACGGCACCGTCGAAATCAGAATCTGGCGTGACACAGCCGATTTTCGCGAAATCCTTATCTAATCCAGTGAACGAATCCTCTAACCCGCTGTCGGGTGATATCACGTCAGGTACAGCCGCCTCTGCGGTGGCGGCCATTTTTGTTGTTTTGCTTTCAACCTCCGACGCGTGTGACATCGACGTTACGGTACGACGCTGATATTTAACGCTTTTGACGACGTTAATTTCACGCGAAACAATCCTGACCTCTGTCTCTCGCATCGCTTCGCTGTCGGCTTTGTGTTGGTCGACTAACGGTGTTGTTATTAATAGATCTTGCTCACCTGTACACTCGTCCCTCCGTTTCGCCTCAGCAATTTTACCTGGTGACGCCTGCGCACCGTCCATCACCTGCGAGCGATCAATACTGGGATTTTCCCCGTTCGCGCTTTCATCTTGGCTAACTGACGAGGAGGATGACGATGATGACGATGACGATGATGACGTCCGCGTTTGCATTTCCGCCTCGCTACTACTCTCTTCTGAAATCGTCGCTAAATAACCGCTGTAGTCGTCGGTCAGATCCGGAATTACGATGACTTTATCTTCTTCGTCGTCATTAACGTCTGCTTCCATTATTCGTTCAACGGCAGCGAGCAACTCGGCGTCATCCGCTCCCACGTTTGCCTCCGTGCTACGCGACTCGCTACCGCCCAGGGGCACGCCTAAATTATCGATTCTATTCAGGGACTCCAACTGTGCCGCCGCCGGCGGAACCTGCTCCGACTGATACACATCTGACCCCGCGTTCGAACTCTCGAACGACGTGCTGACGTCGCCCGCCGCGGGTGCGATGTACTGTCGCACGGCGCGCGCGATCTCACGCTGCTGCTCGGCGTCGGTGAGCGGCGGCAGGCGCGTGCTGACGTCCACGGACGCCGCGGTGCTGTCGAGCAGCGGGAAACTCGAGCCGCTGCCGTCGCTCTGCGCCGACATCTCGCTCGTCATCACGCTCGTGTCGTCGCTCGCCGGCTCGTCGACATCGTCCAAGCTGAAGTCGTGAACGAGCGTGCGAGTCGTGCCGCCCGGTGTCGTCATCATCGCCGCCGCCAGGTGACTATCGCTGGCGTTCGGCGCGCTGCGCGGACTCGCCTCGATGTTGTTGTTTGACTGTAGGGCAACGCGTTTCCTGCGCGCGGCCGTCTCGGGCGATAGCGGCGGCTCGAGCGCGGCTAGAGCGACGTCCTCGTTGCCGAGTAACATGAGCCGGCAGGCGATGATGATGGCAAACACGGTGGTGATCGTCGCCGCGACGACGCGCTCGAAGGCGCCGGCATCCTCCTGCTCGCGCCGCAGCGCCTCCTGCCGGGCTCTCCGCTGCTGCTCGTCCTCCTCGTCCATGCTGTAGATAGGGCGGCAATGGCGCGGCGACTATACCTGCACGTGAGCACAATGAGCACGCGTTAGCGCAAACAAGCGCCCACATATCTTCGCGTCGCAATGTACACATAAAAAAACGTGTGCCATATAAATAAGGATTGTGCGTGCGTGTGTGTGTGCATGCGTGTGTGCGTGTCAGCGTACGTGCGCGTGTGTGCACAGGCACATGAGCCGTTTTATACTAAAATGATGGTAAATCAACACTAATTGTATTTACTACGATAGAGTCTTAATTACCATTTACTTAGCATATCTCTCGCCCATTATTAGTAATAATTCCCTGTAAATGCCGTTCAAATGCTCATCTGCAACATACAATCAAGAGCTCTATTATGAGCTCTTGATACAATACAATTAACCTTACCGCACGCCGCCACCGTTTATAAACTCCCAGAAAGATGGCTTAATCTCTTATAATTTCTATGAGTTTGTGCAGTAGAGTGAGTGCGGTGACATTGTTTGGCAGAACGTTCGGCAGAACGTTCGGCAGAACAGTATTTGAACGGCATTTAATATATATATATATATAATATATATATATTATATATTTATATATACATACTATACATATATGTAGGGGAACCCGGGCAAAGCAGAACCCGGGCAAAGTGGAATTGTCTCAGCAGATTTTATGTTGATGCCCCATGCTATCTGTGACTGTTTTCATTAGACCTCAGTATGATGATGCATGCGTTTTTGATAGATGCCCATTTGCGATGAATCAGCTATGCTAGCATTTTTTTGGCGAATAGTCTGTTTTTTAATGTGTTTCACGGATATTTTCTTAAAAATGAATCTCTGCTAAATCAACTGTGAATCTTTATGGAATTCTTAAATGTAAGGCTATTTTGTTGAAATCTAGGCGGCTATGTGTGCCTATATGCATGATGACATCTTTTGCGGTAGTTGTCTGCCACATCGCGTAACGCCACATGTCTAGTAACGCTATCATGTGCTTCAGCGGCAAAGTGCGAACAGGTTCCACTTATGCCCCAGGCGCATATTTGAATAGCCTAAATGTCATATCATTATTATCAGATTATCTTTATTTATTGTATCTTAATTAAGTACTCTCAGTAGCGCACGAAGGGGTCGTTTGTCGTAAGCAGGTACTACAGATATGTACCCGAGAGTTAGTTTTAGTGTTGTTCTTTAGTATTACTGTTTTATGATTTTATATGAGGTATGTTTAGGTTAGGGTTAGGGTTAGAGTTAGGGTAGCGGGTTAGGGTTAGGGTTAGCTGTTAGGCTGTTGGGTAAGAGCACACTTGCTGTAGCGAAACAAGTCTGGTACAACTTTTTGTGTGATACATATACCTCGAGATTTGTACATATGCTGTAGTACCTGTTACGACAACGACCCTCTTGAGCCTCAGTAGCAGGTAGGTCTATGTCTGTCTTTGCGGCATCATTTTTAACAACACTACTCGTGTTAACCAAAAAATTGGGAACAATTAATCTGTTGTCTTTTTTTGTGTCTTCCCTAGACATTAATTATTGTATAAGCGTCTTATATAATGGCATTTTTCTTTCATATTTTAGGCAAATGGTACGCAACTATGATTTGATGTTCAGAGTTGGACACTGAAAGAGGACGCAACATTTTTGACACAATATACATGGAGTAAAATAACATTCCACCTTGCCCATAACAGGTTTCACTTTGCCCGGGAGTCTGGGGCAAAATGAAATATTTATAAATTTTATAATTTTGTATATTTCAATAAAGTCGTTTTTTAGATTAACTTTGTTTGTACGCGCCTGTTAGTTGCTTGTCCTAAGCCAAAGCGATTAGAGCCAAGCATTTCACTTTGGTCTCGCTCTTTCACAGGGCGTTTTGGCTACCAAATTTCTTCGGTTACTTTGCCCGGGTTCCTATGTGTGCATGTGTGTGTGTGTGTGTGTGTGTGTGTGTGTGTGGTGTGTGTGTGTGTTGTGTGTTGTGTGTGTGTAGTGTGTGCTGTGGGTGGTTGTGCGGTGTTGTGCTGTGTGTGTGTGTGTGTGTGTGTGTGTGGTGTATGTATGTATGTGTGATATGTGTGTGTGTTTTGTGTGTGGTGTGTGTGTGTGTCGTATGTGTATGTTGTGTGTGTGTGTGTGTGTGTCGTGTGTTGTGTTGTGTGTGTGTGTGTGTGTGTGTGTGTGTGTGTGTGTGTGTGTGTGTGTGTGTGTGTGTGTGTGTGTGTGTGTGTGTGTGTGTGTGTGTATGTGTTCATGCGAGGAATTTCTTTATCTCTATTTATTTACGTATTTGTTTATTTACATAATTCACGTTTGTGTGGCATAGACATGCGTGACATACATTTCACACAACCAAGCAGACAATACATGCGCGTAGCGTCACAACAAGATGTTCAGACTACATTACTGTACCCTCCGGGAACGTGTTTCACTCTTACTTACTAAATACGTTTACAAAACAAGCTCTACTGCTGTACAGACGTATTCACCAACTCACGCTTGCAATTTCTTGAGAAACGACTTTGGCCAATGTCAGGTCCAATTCAAGCATTCTCTACTTTGCGATTTACGATACTCCATTCAAAGCAGCTGCACACTGACACAGGTAAATATCCAACGATCACAATCACAAGCAAACATTCCAACCCGCACCGAGGAACCATCAGCACAAACACGTGTATAATATACACCCACCTCACGGTTGAATTTTATCCACAGACGTGCTACGAAGAAATCGTGCTTTTGCCGGAGAAATTACAGCAGGGCGTTGCTTTAGACAGCATCGAACTTTTCACGTGAATCCTAAAATCTCTAAACCCGTTCTCAGTGCGATATCACCGGCGCTCGTTGATGTGGCGATGCGGGTTATTAGAGCCAATGCACATTCCAGTCACAACGCGCTCGTCTTTCTCACACCTTTCTACTGCACTTACGCAGTAATCACACGGCGAACAGCACACGCGGAGTTTCACGCATACATATATGTATTTATACACAAGACAATAAACTACGTGTACCAACAGTCCCATCAATTGACAGCGTGTCATCGACTGCTCGACCAAGCCGCTTCCTTACCACGCAGCAGACACAGTGAGCCAGGTAAGCTAGCGGCCCCACCTGTCGGGGCTCGCGATGATGCGATACCAGCCGGCGCCCCCGATATTTATTGACTGGCCACCTGCGACATTTCGCGCATACACGTACACTTATCTTGGAAATATACTATATACATCAGGAGTAGATAATAGGGATTCCCTATTATCTACTCCTGATATACATCTATCTGATAAATCTTCACTGTATGTATGTATTACAGATAAGTAATTACTATATGTAATATATTTCCTTACCTGTAGCCCTATCTGTCATATATGTGATACAAAAACGATCAACCGCAATTATATGCACACACACATGATAAATGTCAATGATGTATAATGCATGCGTCCACGGGGACGCGTCGTCGTTATATTCACCAGGTGTTACATTCATTAGTGCATTCAATTGCCACCAACTATCCTAGTCAAATATCCGAGCATGTGATTACCGTAAACACATAACAATATATATATATATATATATATATATATATATATTGTCTGGTTTGCGCGATCACTTAATTACGTATTATAGCTGGCATAGCAGATAGTTTAGTCCCACTCCTCATCTGCATAAGTAGCTATAGATATAATTATCCTAGATTAATTAATTATGGTTCATTAGTGTAATAAAGTTTGTAGCCTTAGTCAAGAAAATAGCACAAAACATGAGCATTTAATTCGTATAAAAATATTTGTCGAAAATATTAGCACGTGGATAAAAATTTTCATTTGAAAAAAGGAATTATCCATCGAAAAACTCATCAGTCCATGACGGAGTATCGGGGGCCTCACCAGTTAAACACGGCCCCTTATATCTGCGTTCTTACCTGCCGTACTTGCCTACGCATCGGTAGTTCAACCATTGTGTTTACCCAGGCGACCGGCTGGCTACATTCAACCGTAGCGGAACTTTGTACTGTATACATTAATTCCTTTCGCGCTTACTCACCACTATACCTGACCGCGTGTATGTATAAGCCAAAGATGGCAGCGTATATGCATGTGCGCATGACGTATGCGTTATCGACAACAATACGACCTATTTCTAACGTACTTAGACGTGTAACTCGACTTCGCCGTCATTTCCTTCAGAAGATTAACTGCAGGAATACGCATGTATCTCAATTCATCTTTTCCCTCTTTCTACATGCACTCACGTACGCGCGCACGCATTAATTACCAATGTTTATACGTTATCTCCACCACAGGTCCCCCGCCGCTTCTTCTACCGCGGCCTTTGCTTACTGCGCAATAGCATCTATGTGTGTACGCGTGCGTCTAGCTTGCGTATTTGCGCGTACGTATGTGCGCGTGGGTGTGTGCGTATGTATGTGTATGCATGTGAGCGGGTGTGCATGTTTATATGGTAGTCAAATGACGATATAATCAATGAGTATATACAAGAGTATGCGGGTGTGTTTTGCATTGTGTAGTAGCAGGCATTGGCTGTAAGTTGCAGATACAAACACAGAACATATTTTATAAAATATTCCGATGCCTTTCATAACAGCAGGAGCTAATAATGACAAAGGAGTAAGACACCGATTTGGCACTAATTTCACTACATTTTTGTCGTACGAGTTCGATGTGAATAAAAATACAAATGTATACAAACATGAGCTTCTTTTGTTCACTGTTTCTTATTCTATCTTCCGGTAGTATTACAAACCGCGTAGCTTCCTTCGTTTTGACATAATTCGTACTTTTGCACGACATGGTTTTCATGTTAGTTTGTCATTATTAGCTCCTGATAACAGCTGATCTAGCCAATTGTAAATACACAACTGAAATATACACAAGTATAATAGCGCAACAGTTATAATATACAACTCAATAATGTGCTTCCCCGATAGCACTCAAAAGAATGCAATTTCACATGTTTTTTTATCAACCGTTATCATACTTTCTCAACCTTTCTGATACTTACCGGTACTCCTAGCTTGCATAACACCAAATTTACGTAGTAAGGCTAACATGTCATAGAACACTCGCACAACATTCTTTCCACAATATGTGCACCGATCTGCATTTCACATGAGATTGTTTACATAATGTCAACAAACCTAGCGCGTGATTTTTGCTCTCGCGAGACCGAACCCCTATCTCAACACTTACGTTACTACACTTACACTTACACTGCCTTAACCAGGTTAATAACCTTTGTATACATTTTGAGATAGGTACCAATCTATTAATAGTTGCGTCACGTAACTACGTGCGCTCGTTTTGTGGGGCCCTTTGAACATTCCATTATCGCGAATCTGAATTTAGCAGGCGCACGTTTAATTGCTGTTCATCTGCTGTTTTATAGCATATAACAGCACAAAATTAATTTGTGGTGATTGTTGTGCCGGAGTAATCAGTAAAATGTCCGCGAATAGGTAATACCACAATTTGTCTACACTGCATTTTTACTCTGTTCATATAACATGAACATACATACTATCAGGAGTGACTACTGAATAATAATATATATTATAATATATTAATATATAATATAATAATATTATTATTCACTCCTGATACTATCATGAGAATTAATATTATATCACGAGTAAATAAGAATATCTATTATTATTCACTCATGATAAAATCCAATCAGCAATATTAACTTTTCTTTTCAATTAAGCCACGATTTCCACATATGTTATAATGTATATGAAAATAACGCACGGACGTCGGTCGCCGTTAGTTACAGAGAAAATTTTCTTCGGTCGATCTTATACGTTTAAACTAGAGCTGGGCGGGGCGACGACACGTGTGCGTGGTAAAATCCGATCTATAGTATTCACTTTGCTCGCTGCATCATGCACTGGGTTCCCACATTTGATAATGCGCATGCAAACGGCGGACGGACGTCGTTTGCCGTAGACTGCCAAGAAAATTTTCTTTGGCCGATCTTATACCTTCAAACTAGAGCTGGGCGGGCCGACGGCACGTGTGTATGGTAAAATCCAATCTACAATATTAACTTTGCTCGCAGCATCGCGCACGATTCCCACATATGCTAATGTACATGAAAATGACGCACGGACGTCGGTCGCCGTTGAGTGCCAAGATGAATTTCTTCGCCCGTTCTCATACGTTCAAACTTAAGCCAGTCGGGCCAACGGCACGCGTGCATCGTAAAATCCAATCTACAATATTAACTTTGCTCGCAGCGTTGCGCGACGATTCCCACCTATGCTAATGTACATGAAACTGGCGCACGAATGTCGGTCGCCGTTGACTGGCAAGATAATTCTCTTCGGTCGATCTTATACGTTCAAACTAGAGCTGGGCGGGCCGACGGCACGTGTGCGTGGTAAAATCCGATCTATAATATTCACTTTGCTCGCAGCATCACGCCCTGGGTTAGGGTTAGGGTTAGGGTTAGTCTAGTGAATCCGCCAAGCGTATGCCATTATCAGTCAGTGGTGTCCTCCAGTGGCACAATGCCACAAAGGACCGTATACAAGAAAAGACGGCGCCGCTGATGCCGCTAACCGAAATATTGTTGGTATCGGGTTGATTCTGCGATGTTCTGCCGTTATCTGCAATGGCGTACTGCTATCGTGCTTGGCGTTATTTATAACACACGTCAGATGTTCTGCTGCGCGCAGTGAAGACTACGCTAGAGTCGCTACACACGAGGACGCACGCACACGCACGCACGCACGCAGGCACGCACGCCACGCGCGCCACGCAGACACGCCTACACATACACGACACACAGTCGTCACACACAGCACACACACACATACGACACACGACACACACACAACTACACACACCCACAGCACACACACACACACATCACACACACACACACACACAGCACACACCACACACACACGACACACAGACGCCACACACACACAAACACACATCCACCCACACACACACATCACACACAACACACATGCACACCACGGCAGGTTTGCGGCTGCCGCCGCGGCCGCAAGTACACACTTGTACATACCTATTTTCATGCTCCAACTAGTTACTAAATGAGAAAAATTTTATCAATATACCAAAATTATTATTAATATATTCATATTATCAAGGGTAAATAATCTCCAAGCGATCTATCTTTGGAACTATTTCTTCGCTCGTATTATGTATATAGTTCCTATATTGTTATCGGGTTATTAACACTGCTGGCGCATTCTTGGTTCTTGCCAACTACTGAGGTCATTAGGTGAGGTATACGTTTGTCCTCTCATTACGTGCTGGATAAAACATATGGTCAATTATGAAACTATAACTTGAGACACGATAAGTTATTCTTCAGTTTTCTCTCACAATTCACATATCATTATGTCGCGTTATCGAAAACGTATATGCTTCATTGTGATTACGTCATAATCGAATAATTTCTTATATACCCCAACATGCTCATGATCTTATGTATCCATATTCATAAATGTGTATTTATTATTTCAATTCTACTTGAGATTCTATTGTACATTTTTATGTGGACATTGTTTCATATTTATCGTATTGTTCATGCAATGCCATACTATATACCTACATTTCAATTCTTCCAATAAAGTATTATCATGCGGTTAAATTAAGCGTTAGTTGTTTTTTATCGTGCTTAATAGTGCGTACATGATGTTGTGTATCTAGCACACTTGTTTAATTGAGTAAACCTTTTTATCTTCGAACGTATTACGTTATTATATAATAAGTTGATGTGTGCGGGCTGACTTGACGGATGGATCGCTTTCTGCACACATGCTGACATCGTAATTAAATTTCTCGCGATGTGAAATTTAAAATTTTAAAGCTTGCTATCACAGTTTTTGTAAAATCTCTGGTCATTGCCAGAGCCGTGCATGAAGACGAAAACATTATTTATTTGCATCTTTACAAGAGTAGATGGCAGCAGTGATCCGCATGTTTTGACGTTTGTCTTATTGCGAAAGTTTGCAGTCTTCATGCATAAATCTGCAGTCTTTTGTTATATGTTTTTGCCTATATAAGTAGGCCTACGAAAGAGCAGTGCGAGTGTATATACAAACGAGCTCTTGAATACTGCTCCTTGATACCTATACGAAGGGCTATAATTTGTCTTCGTTGCATTTTGCTGTTTTGTTACAATAATTTAGTAGAGACAGAATCGCCACGTTACTCGCTAGTGTGAAGACTATTCTCTGTGACTGAGTAGCCACTGAGCAGACAGACTGACCGCACACTTTTTAGTCGACCGACATCATCGTCTGCAGTTCTCAACGCTCCATGTACCAGCCGCTGGACGGGATGCGAAATTTTTTTCCCCACGAGAGTTCCGGCCCCACCATAGATAGTGTTTTGTAATATATGGTTCGTCTGTACTGTACTATATCATGCTGAACTGGGGTTTAGACCGGAGGAGACGAGTGACTAATCAATACGGCCAGTGAGCTTGTCAGTGGACAGTGTCCAGGGCTACGTCAGCGGTCAATGAGATAGAGCACGTGACCACGGAAAACCCGCGCCCGAGATATATAAGCGGGGCCGGGAAAGCAGGGGGGGGGGTGTAAGAGAAGGAGACGAAGAGGAGGCACTTACGTACTGTTGTGCTTGTGTATTATTATGTCGTAACATATTAGAATAAAGCCGTCTATATTATACACGACGCCTTCGACCTTCACTGTCTACGATCATTGACCGACGTGTAACGTGTGACATCAGAAACCTTCCCTACATTGGTGGCGATAAAAAGCTCCGCTACAACTGTGGCCAATACCCCGACCGTAATTCGTTTAACGTGTTTTCGTAAAACGTAATTTTTGTGATCGGAATTAAATTTCAGTTGTACATGCTCTCAGATATACCTTAATGGCCACCTCGTAAATTTTTCATTTTCAAGCCCCTCCCCCCATTAATCTACGCTTCAAGCACTGGGCGCTCGCACCCCCCCCCCCGCCCCATCCCAATTCAGGAAGAGGCTCCCGTGTGTGTGGATCTCCTCACTGTACATACTTGACAAGATATCTGGGGCATTCCACAGAATAATGAAGTAATAAGCTAAAAGCGGTATAAGCTCAAAGCTTAAGCTAAACGCTAAACGCTAAAAGCGGTTGAGTTGCGGCCTAACTAATGCCACCGTCCAACATCCCTCTCCCATTCCTCCACTCTCCCACTCTCCCCTCTCTCTCGCTCTGTCCGTCTGTCTACCTATCTCTCGCGCTCTCTCTCTCTCTCTCACCCTTTTTCTCACACGCACCTACTCTCTTTTTCTTTCTCACACGCACCCTTTTCGCTCTCCCTTTCTCACATGCACCCCCCCTCTCTGTTTTTCTCACACGCACCCTTTCTCTCTCTCTCTCTCTCTCTCACACGCACCCTTTCTCTCTCTCTCTCTTTCTCTCTCTCTCTCTCTCTCTCTCTCTCCCTTTCTCACATGCTCTCTCTCTCGTCGAG